GAGATACATGGATGGGTCAACATATGCAAATGAATAAATGTAATATACCATATTAACAGAATCAAAGACAAAAATGACATGATCATCTCTGTATCAATAGATACAGAAAAAGCATTTAACAAAGTCCAATGCCCATTCATGATAAAAGAAAAAAAACCTACAGAAAATTGGAATAGATAGTCTTTAGCTCAATCTGATAAAAGCCATCTATGACAAACCAACAACCAACATCATACTCAAATGCACAAACAATGAAAGCTTTTACTCTAAAATCAGGAACAGGGGCTAGGGATTTAGCTCAGCGGCACAGCGCCTGCCTGGCGAGCGCAAGGTTGTGAGTTCAATTCCCGGTACCAGAAAAAAAAAAAAAAAGAGAGAAAATAAAATCAGGAACAATGGGCTGGGGATATAGCTCAGCAGTACGAACACCTGCCTGGCAAGCACAAGGTTCTGAGTTCGATTCCTGGTACCTTAAAAAAAATTTTATATAAAATTTTTATATAAAATTATTAAAATAAAATAAAATCAGGAACAAGACAAAGATGTCTACTGTCACCAGTCTTATTTAATATAGTTCTGGAAACATTTGCCAGAGCAGTTAGACAGGAGAAAAAACTAAAAGGAATAACGGTAGGAAAGGAAGAAGTTAAATTATCATTATTCGTGGATGAAGACCCCCTAAACTCCACTAAAAGACTTCTAAATTTAATAATCAATATATAGGGTTAGAGAAAAAAAGCTGAGAAAAAAAGATCTTCATGAGTTTGAGGTCAGTCCAGGCTACATAATGAACTCAAATCCAGTCTGAACTACAATGCGAGACACTGTGTCCAAAAAATAAATCTTGCTGTCTTTCCAGGGTCAGTAGCATAGCTGGATACACAACACTTAATCAATTGCCTTCATGTACATGAATAATAAACTCACTGAGAGAGAAATTAGGGAAACAACACCTTTCACATAATATCCAAAAAAATGAACTACCCAAGAATCAATCTAACAAAACAAATAAAAGACCTCTACATTGAAAACTACAGTACTCCAACAAAGGAGATTGAAGAGGATATCAGAAAATGGAAAGGGGCTGGGGATTTAGCTCAGCGGCACAGCGCCTGCCTGGCAAGCGCAAGGTCATGAGTTTGATTCCTGGTACTGGAAAAAAACAAAAAAAAAGAAAATGGAAAATATCCCTTCCTCTTGGGTAGGAAGAACCAATGTAGTGAAAATGGCCATACTTTCAAAATTGTTACACAAATTTAATGCAATCCTAATCAAAATTCCAACAGTGTATCTCACAAAATTAGAGAAAACAATCCTAAAATTCATTTGGAACTAGAAGAGACCTAGAATAGCAAAGGCAATTCTGGGAAACAAAGGCAAGGCAGGAGGCATCACAATTCCTAACCTGAAATTATATTATAAAGGTACTGTGATAAAAACAGCATGGTATTGACAAAAAAAAACAGATGTAAGGATCAATGAAACAGATTGGAAGATGAGGAAACAACTCCAATCACGCTTGGTCACCTTCTCTTTGACAAAGGTGCCAAACACCTTCACTGGAACAAAGATAGCCTCTTTAATAAATGTCACTGGAGCTGGGCATGGTGGCACATGCCCGTAATCCCAGCACTCGGGAGGCTAAGGTAGGAGGATCATTGCGAGTGAGACCAGCCTGGGCTACAAAGCGAGATGAACGCCAGCCTGAACTGCATAATGAGACTCTGTCTCAAAAAGACAAAAAAAAAAAAAAAAAAGACCATCTGCTATGGAAAAAATGACCAACAGCCAGGTCTGTGGCATGATGATATGATTCAGCAATCCTGAGTATATGGTTATTCATATTTAATAAAAATGTTTGACACACTTTAACACTACTAAAAGAATAAGATGGGCCAGGGACGTAGCTCAGTGGCATAAGCGCTTGCCTGACAAGCCTCAGGTCATGAGTTTGATTCCCAGTACCAAAAAAAAGAAAAACTGATTTAAAAGAATAAGATTTAAGTAGTCATACCACAGATAAACATGTGAAGTAATGCCTATGTTAAGTAGCTTGTTTTAGCCATTCCATAATGTATGACAAGAGGCTATTTTTTTTTTTTGTTTGTTTGTTTGTTTGTTTGTTTTTCAGACAGGGTCTCACCACACCCAGATTAATCTGCCTAACATTAACATGCAAAGGAGTTTGTACATCACTAAGAGAAACAAGATAAGGGCAATGAACACTGGAATTCTCAGAAAAGATGGCAACAGATAATATGGGGACTGTGCTGACCACCCCTTAGGACAAACAGATGTGTCTTGCTAGCCCAATGTGGTGATGCCTATAATCCCAGCACTTGGGAGGCTGAGAAAAAAAGATCTTCATGAGTTTGAGGTCAGTCCAGGCTACATAATCAACTCAAATCCAGTCTGAACTACAATGCGAGACACTGTGTCCAAAAAATAAATCTTGCTGTCTTTCCAGGGTTAGGCAATATAGCACATTGGCTAGTTAAATAGTTGGTGCTAAAGCCAGATACCCCTTGGCACATGCTTACTGCACAGCCATTATGCAGTCCCCTTCTACTATGTGCTAAGTGTTGATGATCAGTACCTTCAGTTGTATGCCCTGACTTGGAGTGAAGCCAGGCATAGAGTGAGCTCCCTGAACATCAGATGTGGTAAGGACAAGGACTGTCTCAGTGCTGGGCATAGTACCAGTGGCAGAGCCCAAAAAGTGGCCACTACAAGCCTGAAAGACCAAGTACTTTTCTACATCTATCTGAGACACCCTCACACTAGCACACAAACATTTATGTATACCAATATTAGAAAAAAACCACAAATCCCTGTTAAGGATTTGAATTATTTGGGAGGTATACTGGTCATGGAACCCAGGGGCACCCTACTACTGAGGTACATCTCCAGGGTGGGCTGTTGTTGTTGGTTGTTGTTTGGGGGGTTTTGTTTGTTTGTTTTTCTGAGACAGAGTATCAATATGTAGTTCAGGATGGCCTTGAACTCACTATGTTGTAGGCTGGCCTCCAACTCAAAGCAGTCTTCCTACTTTAGCCTAAGAGGTGCTCGAATTACAGGCATGCACTACTATGTCTTACTTGCTTGCTTTATTTATTTTTGTTTGTTTTTTGAGACAAGGTCTCACTCTGCAGTTCAGGCTGGCCTTGAATTCACTATGTGGCCCAACCTGGTCTTGTACTCACATCAATCCTCTTGCCTCAGCCTCCAGAGTGCTGGGATTACACGTGTGCACCACCATGCCTGGCTTATTTATTTATTTTTATTTTGGGACAGGGTCTAGCTAAGTTGCCCAGGCTGGAGTTGAATTTGCAATCTTCCTACCTCAGCTTCTCAGAGTGCTAACATTAACAAGCATATATCACTATGCCCAGCTCTGGGTAAAACACAAAACCAAAATTAACTGTAGAAGTTGGTAGGTAAATAGAATTGATGGGGTCTCTATATATTGTATATATGTTTACATGACTGAAGAAACTGTATCCTCTTGATTCCACATTTAGCAAATGACCACTAGGCACTGTCTCAGGCCCACACAATCACTGGGTGAAGGTTCTCTTGGGCTACATAAAGGACTTGCAGAAGTAGTGCAGCTGCCAGATATACTGGCAGAGCAGAGGCACTCGGCCATCTGCATTCAGCCCAGAGGGGGTCACATGGGGTCATGGAAAGCAGAGTAGACTACAGACACCACAGCCCAGAGGCAGCAATGAACTACCCTGGAGAGTCAGGGGTATGTGGGAAGGTCACAGACTGCCCCACCCAGCCACTAGATCCAAAGATCTTTTTCTCCCAACACAGGGGCCAGAGAAGAATCAACTTCCAGAGTCACCAGCAAGGACTTGGGCTGGTGACCCAGGGTGATACAGTCTTAGCACTGGTTGCTTATCATCCACTAAGAACATGATTTCTCAACATAAACCATGTGGAGTTGTGTCATGAGGTTCACAAGCAACCTCTGAAGCAAGATGACTCCTCCAGCTCAGTGAAGAAAACACAATTCTCATGACACTTAGCAGCCAGCATTCTCTGAGCACTGGGCAGGAGATTGAAAGAGCCATGAGAGCCTTGCCTGGTGCTCCTGCCCCAAGAGGATCAAGCTATGTAAGCTAGCACAGGGACAGTATGTTTTTAACTCCAAAAAAACTCAGCTCAGAGAATGGAAGGTATCAGGCCTGAAGTTGCTGATCACAGACAGCAACAACCTTCCTTCTCACCTGGGTCTCTGTGGACCCTGGGAAAGAAACCTAAGCACCAACATCTTCCCCACATGGATGGCCACGAACTCTAGCAAGCACATGACTCACAGATTCCATTTCTGATCCTCTAATGTCCTTCAGCATGGAGCAGTCCTTCTTGAAAGAGGCAGAAGAAGCGAGACACAGTATGAATAAGCTATAGTGGCCCAACATCAGCTTCAAGTGAACAAAGGCAACTCAACCTCTGGTCATTCCACTCTGGCACCAAATTGACCAGAGACACCTGGTAATGTGGGCCACAGCAGCCTGAAGTCCAGGACAGAAGATCCTGCTGACAGCAGCATCCCTAGGTCTGCAGCTGCTGAGACTGTACAAACAACCATCATAAACACACGCACCAATAAAATATCTCAGTCGAACATTCCCATGGACGATCCAGCTCTTGCCTCTCGCTTCCATCCAGGTGGTCATGGCCACTCAAGCCTCAAAGCTCTAAGTCTCAATTCACTACCTTCATCCCAGACCTCCTGCTGGCCCCATCCTACTTGTCTCTTTCCTGCAATATCGCTACTCAGCGATGTAGGTCAGAAATTGGCATCACCAGCCCCTGTTCCTCCACCTCCCACCCCACACCTTCTTCTCCAGTTCTACCACCGTCCCTTTTCAATATGGTCTCTGCCTCCAGGACTAGTCCCTCAAAGCTGGACTTCACCCCAACAGCAGCTGTAGCTCACACCCCCAGTCTCAGCAGCTGCCTGGTCTTCCCACACCCCCTGGGCTTACCTCACTGCACTGGAGTTTATGACTGTCCAGTCCCCACCCTGAGCTGGCGAAGGGGAATTTATTTAAGGTGTGTAAAAAAAAACCAACAGAGTCTGCACTTCAGGTTCACTGGCGCTGCTGGAAAAACGGACCCCCAAATCAGGCGGTCCAGCGGCTCAGCACCACCTAGTTTTCTCATCTTGCCTGGAAGCTGACTGCCTACACCCCTCCCCGCTGTGTGACCTACGCTCTAGGACCAGCAGTCCTCGTGACTGGACAAATCATCACCCTGCTCTACATCGCCTCTGCTGTCTACGAGAACACGGAAAGACTAGCAGCCCTGATGCACGCTGGCTTTCCAACTCTCCGGGTTTGAGCTGAGCTTCCCAGTAAGGGTGGCGGGAACCTCCGGTGACCCAATTATGGGGCAAAGGGACGAGTATCGTGAGCCGCCCCAGGAGGGAGGGTCAGTGGCCGGGAGCCACTGAGTTCCCGGAAGGGGCAAGGAAGGAGACCACCCAGTTTCCAGAAGGGGCAAGGACGGAGGCCACCAAGTTCCCGGGAGGGGCAGGGACGCAAGCCAAGCGCCCCCTGGGAGGCAGGGACAAGAACCAGGGAGCCAAGCGCCGGCGTCCGAAGGGGAGGAGCTGACTAGCAAGTTCCCAGGTCTCTCTCTTCCGGATGCGACACGGAGCAGCAGGCTCCGCAGGACACACCTGAGCCAAGGGAGGGGTAGGCCCCGACCCCGAGACGCCGGGATTCAAGGCGCTCGCCACAACCTTGGAGAGTCGCCTCCTGACTACACTTCCCGCGTCACACCATAAGAGGCGCAGGCCGCAGCCTCTCCCGCCCAGATTCCCCGAGGGACGAGGGGCGTCTCCCCAGAGCTTTGGAAGGATATTCTCGGCCTGCAGTTTACCTGAGGAGCTACAACGCAGCGGCCCGGGTACCGCCCTCCCGGCCAGCCGCAGCCCGGAATGGGCGGGGACGCGCACCGAGTCTGCCTCTGCCGAGTTTTGGCCAACCGCTGCCCGGCGAACAGCATCCTGGTCCCGCCTCCACACGATCTCTGCCCTCATTGGTCGGAAGTACGTCTCTCACGCTCGCTACGCGTCCTTTCCCCACCCCCAACCCCCGCACACCTTCTTGCGCAGAGTCCGCCTCTCTCGCTGCCGCCTGGTGATTGCTGGACCTGAACAGCAAAGCCCGAGACGGGGCGGGGCAAGGGCGGGGTCAGGCCAGGCGCGAGCCTGAGTCGCTAGCTACGCTGGCGTCTGCCCTGAGGACGTACTCCTGTTTAGTATATCGGTAAGATAGGAGCCTGTATCTGACAATTCCCCACGCCCACGCCCTTCCCCATTCCCTATACACCCAGGAGGCCACAGGCTTCGCGCGCTATTGCATCCAAATGGTTATAGCAAGCTGGTGCGCTCGCAGTTACACGCACCGGGTACACGCACCAAGTGCAGCCAGGACTCTCTCACAAATAAACACACACCCGGCAAGCACTCCAGAGAGGTGGGATAGCGGGCCCTTCAGCGAAGAGGTCATGAGGCAGGCCCATGAGAAATGGGGGTCCAATTTACCAGCAGACACCACAAGATTGGAGAAAATCGGGTCTTCTCATGAGAGTTATTAGAATCTTGAGAAAGGTCGATAAACAAGGAAGGAGGAGCTAAAAGGGGTGTGGCTTGGGGCGGTGAAAGCAAAGATGGGAAGGACCTATGCCCAGGAGAGCTCAGGGAGGGGCTCTCAGGGCAAGATTGAACCCGAAAGCACCTAAATGTGTTCAAAGACCAAAAGAATGCAGTGGCTGAAATTCTAGAAACCCAAGAAGTGACAGCTCCATTTGAGGAAAAGGAAGTGGTTAGCCGTGCTGCAACCAGACCTAAGAGTGTCAGTTAGATGAAATCAAGCTGCTAGACAGGTGAGCCCCTCGGAGGGGAGGCAAGCTAAGGTTTGAGGAGGCAACGTGGGGTATGTATGGTATGGTATGTATGTATGTATTTATTTAATTTTATTTATTTATTTTGAATCAAGGTCTCACTATGCAGTTCAGGCTGGCCTTGAACTCACTTTGTAGCCCAGGCTGGTCTCAAACAGGAAATGATCCTCCGCCTCAGCATCCCCAATGCTGGGATTACAGGCATGCACCACCACATCCAGCAGTGGGTCTTTAAAACACTAGGACAAGACATTCTTTTTCTGCAACAAGAGAAACTTGGGCCTGTTTCTACAGTGAGGTCAGAGCCCAAGAGAGAGGGACAAGACTCAGATAATCAAGAAAATGGGGCACTCAGAAGTGGGGGCCTGGCCCAAGACACTGATGACCCCCAGCAAACAGGAGGAAATAACCAGAGAAATTACCAGAGAAAGAGGTCTTTTCCAAGGTCACACCTGGATGGCACACTACTCACCCTAAAGCCTGAAGTGCCCCCACCCATGACCAAAGACTAACATGCCCCTCTGGTCCTGTGGCCCACTGAAGTCACAGTAACCATCTCTTCCCTTCCCAAGCACACAAGCTGCCCAGCATGCATCACTACTTTATTCTTACATTTATTACATTATTCAGCACAAAGCCAGAACATGACAGTGCTCAGTGAAGCTCCATGGATTTCATGGGTTAACAAAAGGGCAGATAAAGAGGAGGATATTCAAACGATGCAGAAAGGTGGACAGGGTTGATGACAGATTCTGCCTGTTAGGACTCAGCTTAGTACCCACTGGTTTCCAGCTGGATTCCAGTACCAGGAAGGTGAGAGAAGTGGGTGTGTCTGGGAAGCATGAACTCCCAGGCTGGACAGCAACTGACAGGGGCGTGGCTCCCCTGGCTGGGGCCATACAGTTTTCCCCTTGTGCTCCCCAGCTATAGAGGTGGCAGCTTTTTCTTTTATTCCTTTTTTTTCTTTTCTTTTCTTTTCTTTTTTTTTGAGAGAGGATCTCTACATGTAGTTCAGGCTGACCTTGAATTCAATATGTAGCCCAGGCTGGCCTTGAACTTGAAGTGATCTTCCTGCCTCAACCTCCTGAGTGCTGGGATTACAGGCATGTACCACCACACCCAGCTAGGTGGCAGCTACTTACAGCCACCCACCTTCAACCACCTTCACTTGGCCTCTTGTGCCATCCTAGCTGTTTTAACTGCTGGGTAACCAAGTTGTATTAGATGCCAGAGAGAAGTCTTTTTCTAACCCCCAGGTCAACCACAGACCAGTTAATGCCAGGAAATTGGCCAGAATAGGGCTGTGGCTTAGCAAGGGAATATTAAGCAGAAGCCTTGCACTCAGGAAGCTAATGGTCCACTACAGATGAGAAAATATGTCTATCTGACCAGCCCAGGCAGGCCTACTTCGAAGTCTTCACTGCACAGGCAGGCCATATCCACCTGTGGGTCTCAGTGCAGAACAGTACAAGTCTCCAGACTCACTGGACTTCCACCATGTACCAGACCCTTGTGGATGTTTCCAGAATGACTACCTATTGGCTACAATGCTGGCCCATCTGAGTCACAGCAGACAGCTCACATATTTGGGCCTTGGCTCTGCCACCAGTGGCCCTCAATTTTGTCATCTGTAAAATATGTACTGCTTAGATGTGTTCAGATCTGAAATCCTGGATGTAAACTGCCCTACATAGGATGAACACCTCAGTGTGTTCTGCAAATAGGTTAGAACTGCTATGGGCAGCAGCTGTTGCAAATATGACTGCATCGGATGGCCCTGGAACACAGCCCGTGCTCAGTGGATATCACCTGCTACTCCTGGCAGTAACAGTACTCAGAAAACTCAGGAGGTCAGAAGAAGGGAGAGGTGATGTTTGCTCCTGCCTCCCTTATTTGCCCTGAGGATTATGATGGGCCCTGTAGAGAGCCCAGGCTGGAGACTTCTTGTAGCAGGCCCTGCCTGCACAGAAGCTCAGGTTCCAGCAGAGGAAGGCCAGGAACTGAGAGGATCCTGGGCTTGCCTCTCTTCTGGCTTAGCAAGCTGTGGCCTTGGCACTCTCTCAAAGATGACGGGCATAGTTGAAATGATACCTGCAGTGTTTCATCCTGTTATGGCTTGTATCTAGATATTTCCCGAAAGCCTCAGGAGCTCATAGGTGGGGCTTTTCCCAGGTGGCTGGATCTAGGTTATGTGGTACTAATGTTGGGTGTGGTGGCACACACTTGTAATCCCAGCACTTGGCAGGCTGAGGCAGGATGATCACTGTGAGTTCAAGGCCACTCTGAACTACATAGTGATTAATCCATTGGTTGGTTTAGTGTAGTTCTCTGTGTGGATGATGAAAGGAGGATCCACCCTGGGTGTGGGTCGCACAAATCATTAGGCTTGTAACCTGAATGGAATAAAAGGGAAAGATAGAAAGCAGGCTGCCAAAAAACAAAAAGAAAAAAAAAAGAAAAAAAAGAAAGCAAGCAAGCAGGCTGCTTGTTGCTTGCTGCCGCCTGCCTCCTCTGCGGTGGATTGTTCTTCCTCTGTGAAATCCTTCTGCCATGCCACTCTGCCTTGGTGTCAACCAACTATGTACAGAAACCTCTACAAACTGTAAGCGGAAATAAACCTTTCCCCCTTTAACTTTAGGTGTTGGGTATTTTGTTGCAGCATCAAGAAAGTAACTAAACCAGATTTTGGTACCAGAGAAGTAGGGTCATTGCTGTAACATTACCTGACCGTATGGTTTAGAAGCCTTTGGAACTGGCTTGCAGGAAGAGATTGGAAAGGTTTGGAGATACTGGATGAAGAAGCAGCCCTGGAATGCTGTAAGCCAAGCTTGATGGGAGATTCTGGTCAGAGTTCAGAAGACCAGAATGCTGATAGAAATGTAGCCAGTAAGCTGGGCGTGGTGGCACATACCTGTAATCCCAGCACTCAGGAGGCTGAGGCAGGAGGATCGTTGCAAGTTCGAGACCAGCCTGGGCTACAAAGTGAGCTCAAGGACAGCCTGAATTGCATAGCAAGACCCTGTCTCAAAAAGACAAAAAAAAAAGAAAAGAAAGAAAGAAAGAAAGAAAGAAAGAAATGCAGCCAGTAAAGACCAGGCTCAGTAGATTTCAGTTAGAAATAAAGACTGCCTTGGCTGCTGGACTCCAGACCATATGTGTTATGCTTTGGCAGAAAATTTGTTTGCATTTTGCTCATGTCCAGAGACTTTGTCTGAGACTGAGATCAAGGGTGACAGACTAATTAATTTTGTGGAAGAAATTTTAAGACAGTTTAATGTTGAGGTGGTGGCATGGCTACTGTCAGGAGCTTTCAGTCAAATCTATGTTGAGAATCAAGGGGAAAAGGCCCAGCAGAATGATAAAAGTTTTGAGTTTGACTAGAAAGCAAGCTCCAGTTAAGTTGGGGCCTGCAAAAATGAAGCAGAGAATTTGCTTGCTGAAAAGATTAGCAATAAAAGTCAAGTATTTCAGAAGAGGACAATAGAAAAGATGGCCTAACGGCATCACAAGAACCAAGGGGAGTCTACCTTTGAAGTCTCAAAAGTGCAAAGATGAAAGACTTTGCTAAACCAGGCATGGTAGTATACTCCTGTAATCCTAGCATTTGAGAAGCTGAGGCGGGAGAATCACTGTGAGTTCAAGGTCAGCCTGGGCTACAAAGTGATTTCAAGGCCAGCCTGAACTGCGTATCAAAACTCTGTCACAGGCTGGGGATATAGCTCAGTGGCATAAGCACCTGCCTGGCAAGCGCAAGGTCCTAATTTCAATTCCCAGTACCAAAAAACAAAACAAAACGAAACAAAAAAAAGACACTTTGCTAGAAGAAAGCCCCAGAATACCAAGTTCCAGAATGGCAGCTGCCTAAGGAATTTGTTCCTCCAGATTGGGTTCATAGTGCCTAGCAATCCAGGCACTATACCCCTACAGTGAAGAGAAAGAAGCCTGGCTTCTGTTCTACCTGGGGGTACAGCTTGGTGCCATCCCTGTGGTACTGGTTTTATGTGAATGGAAATTCAAGGGTTGTGGGGTCAAGAAGGTTTCCACCCAGATTTCAGAAGGCCTAGGTGGTCAGGGAATGTGCCCCCAGAGGGAAGTGTGTAAAGCTGTGAGTGTGACACCAAAGATGCAACAGAGATCCCAAAAGTTTGGAGAAGCTAAGGACATGGATTATCTGAGGAATGCTGCAAGGAATAAGCAAAACCAGCCATAAGTGCCATAACCACCTGCAGTGCCATAGGGGTGGAGTCACCCGAGCCCTTTGATGTTCACAGGTTGCCACTGATGCTGGACATAAAAATACAAGACTTAAAATGTTTGCCTTGCTGTACTTTGGACTTTCTTTGGTCCCATTTCTTTCTATCCCATTTGGGAATAGTGATGTTTATTTTGTGCCACTGTATTTTGGAAGTGTTCAACTTTCTTTTAATTTGTATAGAAGCTCACAGCAGGGAGTTTGCCTTAAATCTCGGATAAGACCTTGGACTTGGGACTTTTCAGCCATGGAGAAACTTTTAGGACTTTGGCAACTTTTAGAGGTGGACTAAAAGCTTTTTGCATAAAGATGTGTCTTTGGGGAGCCAGAGGCAAAATGTTAGTCTATGTCTAGATGTTCCCCTAAAGCCTCATGAACTCATAGGTAGGGCTTTTCAGAGGTGGCTGAATCTAGGGTGTATGAATATGGATTAAAAGTATGTGATACTGGGGTTAAGTGTGTGGTACTTAGTCTGCTAACAGATTTAGCGTAGTTCTGACTATGGATGATGGGAAGCCCCATCCTAGGAGAGGGTGGCACCAATCATTAGGCTTGTAGCCTGAATGGAATAAAAGGGAAAGATGGAATGCAGGCTATTTGTTGCCTTCTGTTTGCCTTACCAGGGACTGTTTTTCCTCTGTGACACCCTTCTACCATGCCACCCTGCCTTGGTACTGAAACCTCTACAAACTGAAATAAATGTTTTTCCTCCTCTAACTTTGGGTGTTGAGTATTTTGTCTAAGCAACAAGAAAGTAACTAAGACATATCCACTTTCCACTTTTTTTTTTTTTTTTTTTTGAGACAGGGTCTTGCTATGCAGTTCAGGCTGGCCTTGAGCTCACTTTGTAGCCCAGGCTTGTCTCAAACTCACAACGGTCCTCCTGCCTCAGCCTCCCAAGTGCTGGGATTACAGGCCTGAGCTACCACACCCAGCTTCCTTATGTCTTTAAAAGGCTGGCCTTCCTGCCTTTGCTTGCCATTATCTCTCCCAGCTATTTTATTTTTATTTGGCACCAGGAATCAAACTCATGACCTCAGGCTTCCCAGGCAAGTGCTTATGCTGCTGAGCTATATCCCCAGCCCTCTCCCAGCTTTTTAAAAGGCCATTATGAGGCAAGTGTGATAGTACATGCTTGTAATCCCAGCACTCTGGGAGGCTAACGCAGGAGGATTGCAAGTTGAAGGCCAGCCTGGGCAAAGTCATGACTTAGACAGATCCCATCTTAAAATACATAAAGGTTTTTGTTTGTTTTGTTTTTGTTTTTGTGGCCAGCCACATACAGAGTGGCCCACAGAGGACTCACCCTAGCTCTAGCCCTTAAAGTAGGTTCACACCCTGCAGGGAGGGTACTGTGCAACAAAACATCTTCAGAAAGGGCAGATCTTGAGTGGACATCCTTGTTGAAGGCACAATACAGGTGCAGCTTTAGAATAGTCTACCTGGGGATATGCTCCAGCCTTACCAGAGGTTGCCTTCACCCCAGTCTATAGCTGTGGTAGCCTCCTACCTGAGCCTCCCACCAGCAAGGCTTCAGAAACTTGGCTGCTTTAAGTGCAGTACAGGTCCCACCCAGGTCCCTTTGACTCCAGGCCTTGCTCATTGACATAAAAGTAAGGTCTTAGCTGTGCTTCCCCCGACCCCATTGAACTGATAGTGAGCTGTACTGTCAAACCTCCTTCTGTGATGCCCTCTATGGAAGGCTGCAGCAGTAACAAGCTGAACCAAAGAACCTTCACAAAGCAACTGAGAGTACACAGACAATGGCTACCTGCCCTCCTACAAGATGGGCTTTGGGGCCTTCTCTAAGGTCTACCTGGCATACACCACTCAGCATGCACACAGCGAAGCCCTAAGCTGTTCTCTTACAGGGCAAACACTACAGGATGGTGAGATAGGTCTACTTACCTCAGAGAGCTCCTTGGCATACCCCACCAGGCCCCTATCCTAAATCCACTCAGGTACCTTCCAGCTGTCCCAGGTCCTTCCACACAGCCTCCCTGGACCTGGGGGTCCTGCTTCTCCCAGCTTCTTCTGATCTCTCCAGACTGACCCTCCATTCCCAAGCCTCTTAAGTATGTAAGTACCTAGAACAAAGGGTTATCACTGCTAAGGACTCACCAGCCAGGCCCTAGGAAGTTCAGGACTGTGCACAAAGGATGGCAGGCCATCTTGCCACAACACACCCCCAAGGGGGTTGTGACCTGCTCTGACCACCCTCCTTTTCCTATAGGTGGCCATCAAGATTCCCTCCATGGCTGAGGCTCCCATGGAGTTCTCCCAAAAGTTCTGCCCTGTGATCTTGTCACTCAGTGCTACCTACAAGCACCTTATCATAGTGTGGTGACAACATACACTGTGCCATCTTCATCCTGACTAGCCCTCACACTTGCTGCCTAACCCAGACCTGCTTCTCCTAGGTCTTCCCTGTGACCTAAGGGGTAATCCTGTCCTGAGGCCCAGATCCTGGACTTTCACCAGCGTACCACTGGCCCAGCACTTCCTCTGGGAAGTAGCAGGTATGGTTGTATGAGACCTATCAGAACAGCCTGCTACTGGAGCTGGACTTTTCAGCCATGGTGAAACTGTTAGGACTTTGGCAACTTTTAGAGGTGGACTAAAAAGCTTCTACGTAGAGGCAACCTGCTGGGGCACATCAACAGTGTTAGGCCACTGCTTCTGGAAGAGAAGTCTTGAAGGCTGTTCTGACAGCTGGTCAGCATGGTAGTCTATTGCCACCACTGTGCACTGGTGAGGGTATACCTGGCCTGCCTACCTGGAGACCCACTTGAACCCAGCCTCAGCTCTCCTTCCCCAGCAGGGATCTAAACTGTTAGAACATTCTGCTGGATGACCAGGGGTTCCTAGAGCTGAGCTCAGGACCTACCCACCCTCTGCTCCAAGTCTCTACCCTGTCCTTTAGCTCCTGTGAATAGCATGACCTCTCCAAATAGTGGCATCATTGGTGGCGGTGGGCATGGGCCATAAACACAAGTGGTTGATGGGGCAGAGGTAAGTTGCAGCCATGGGCCTTGCCAGCAGAGTACCAGGACCTACTTCAGGGGATGGTCCTGTTGCCCCTGTGCCCATCTGGGTGCTACCTGTGGCACACATGGTATTCTGCTCTGGACTTGGTGCTCTGCGAGGTGAGGGGTGGCCTGTGGGTAAGGAGCTAGCAGATGGTGGTCTCTTCACTTGACTTCCATTGGTCTACTGTAGAGGAGCCAGAGACCAGGGATGACACAGAGCCTAGCATGGGCTTTAGGTCTGAGATGCATCTGTGGTGCCCAATGCGGTAGGATGCTCCCAAGGAAAGAACCTGTGGCTCAATGCTTGGGTCCCTGGAGGCCAGCCCCAACAAGAAGTGGGTTCCATCAGCCTGGGGCTCTGGGGCTCTAAGGTGGGCAGCCCAGCAAAGCACACCTCCAGGCAGCCACTGCCTCTGTGTTCCACGTTTGCTTTCAGGAAAAGTGTCTATCATTTGAGGGAAAGAGGGTGGTGTAAGTAGATAAAAGGTTTATTCTGTGGAGCTATGGGTGTAGCTGTCTTCCTGCAGAGAGAAGGCAGATGGCCTTTAGATGCCTCTCTAGGCCGAGGTTCTGCCACTACCTCCTGGGACTCTCTAGGACAGAGAAAACACCAGTCTACACATCATGCCTGCCCACAGCACCAAGAGCTTTAATGGGCAAGTCACAAGGCTCTACAGGGGAAGATGACGCCTGGCAGTCAGTAAAGCACTGTCAGATGCCATACAGAATACAACGTGGGGCAGTCCTCCAAATTCAAGCGGGTGGAGAGGGGTACTGCAAATTCCCAGCAAGACAACTTGAGCTCTTCACTAGGACCTGACAAGGCCTGTCTGTGAGGCAAGGGGACAACACTCAAGAGCCCAATGGGCAGGGGGCAGTGAGGTCTAATGATAAGAACACACTGGGGTGAGCCACTATGATAACTGCAGAACTGGGGTAGGGATACCCACAGGTCCAGAAGAAAAGCAGAGAAGCCTGCTCCCAGCCCCACAGTGGGCTCTGAAGGGGTAAACGATGCTTAAGGGAAAGGCTTAGACATGGAACAGGGACGCAGGCACACCTAGTCTCTGCAGAGAGGTAGGTGAGAGGCCTTAGGAGCAGGAGGGTCTGGAGGTCTTTCAGTGCAGCTGAGGCTCAGAGAAACTGGCCAGGGAACAGACCTAACTTGAGGGTTGGGTGAGGGCCAAGTTCAAGATGGAGTATGATCACAAAGGAGTAGAACCTAAGAAGCAAGCACAAGTTTGGGTGGGGGCGGGGGCGCAGTCTAGAAGGTATCCTAAGGGATGGGACTGATAGGAGGCACTGCTTGCACCTCTGAGCTGGCCCATACCCAGACCAGGCAGTACCTTTGGAAGTTCTAGCTGGCTCCTCAGAGACTGCAATGTTTTCTGTCCAGTCCCACCACAGTGCCTGGTAACAAGCTCCTGGTGGCTGCACTGGCCATACATCTGCTTCACATGGAGGAAGCTGTGGCACAAGGTCTGGCCAGCTCTGGCTCAGCTGTGCAACAACCTTCACGTTTACTGGCAATGACAGGACATGATATTGAGAATGCCCTCATATCTCCCATGTTTACTGGGCATTCATCCTAGAACTCTTAGCACAGGCCGGAGCGTTAAGTGTACCTCTGCTTCTTAGCAAGGCACAGCCTCTGAGCAAGGGGATTAGATGGCAGGAAGCAGGCTTAGTATGGGAAGCCTGGCAAAAGAGGCTCTGGAGCTGGCATCAGGCAGCAGGGGCCTCAGGTAGGTGCAGGCCCCTCTCCCTTTGACCCTCCAGCAAGCTCCCGCTGCTGCTGTTCCAACTGCTCCTGCTCCTGGCGATCTAATTGCTGTAGTTGCTGCTCCACATCTTCAGGCACCTGCACCTCCAGCAGGTTTTCCATGCCACACTCCGGTTCATCCCCAATAAGCACCTACCAACAGAGCAAGCAGGTGAGCAGGCAGCCAGCCAGCTATAACCACCCCCTCCCTGGCCTCTCCAATCCTGCACCCACCTGGATGAGTTTCTCACAGGCTATCTGCACATCAGGCTCTGGCTCCCAGTTGTGCAGTTCTCGAAGGATTAGGTATGTTCCCTGGTCCCGCACCTGCTGCCGACCAGGTGCTGTAGCTGTCAGCTGGGGAGATGGTACAGGTTACTCAGACATCATTGTGTGTGTGCTGGGGTCTGGCATTAATACACCAGGACCCCCACTCACCAGCATGATGGCTTCAATGAGCATTTTTCGGATGTCTGCATCAGGTTCTCGCTGCTTGTCTGGTGGCAGGTACTGCAGGTCAACAGGAAGCCCTAGGGGAGGACAGTGGCAGCCATTTGGTGCCTAGGCTGAGAACCTGGTGGGTTTAGGCTCTGCCTGTGTAAGCCTCACCTGTACTCAACAACTCCCTCTGGGACATTTCCTTCTCCTCCTCCCGCTGCTGGCTCCTCTCCCACCTGGCCAATCCTGAGGCTCCCACCCAAGGCACTCACGCTCCATCTCTTCCTCTGAGAAATCCTCAGACCCAGCCAGAGGCAGTAACAAGAAGGGGAGAATGTCGACCTCAGGCCCGAGCAACCACTCGTGATGGCCTAGGAGAAGGGACAAGGATGGGGGTCGGTCCGGTCCTCTGGTGCTGCAGAGTCCAATTCCCACCCCAGCAACGCCCATGCCCTCCCCCACCACTCACGGTGCTCGAAGCAGCAATTCCGCAGGGTCCCCACCACCCCGCCCCTGCGCAACGAGGAGTCTGAGTATTGGGTAAGGGGCAGCAGCCGCTGGACCACGCACCTGTTGGGAAGGACTACTTATTGCCGTCTGACCTCCTCCCCGGCACCTCCCCAACCGCGTGGATGCTTAACTCACCTGTCGGGGTCCAGCAAGAAGGCTCGCGCCGCAGGCTGCTGACTGAGGTTTGAGAGTAGAGGCCCCAGGTAATGCAGGGGCGCGCGTGCGTTGTAGCCGGGAGTGCACAACGCGCACACCAGCCTCTCCAGACCGGACCCCGGCGCCGCCGCCGCCAGTGTCTCCATGAGCGCGGCACAGGGTGCCGGCTCGCGGCTGAGGTTGGCCAGAGCGGCTGCCGCCTCGTCTGCCCAGGGCCACTGAGGATCTAGCGCGCGGCCCAGCAGCCGGGCGTGTAACCCGGGGTCGGCCGCCAACAGCTGCTCATGCAAGCTGGGGTCGGCAGCCAAGTTCACTAAAGCACGCGCGGCGTCGCGGGCCACGGCAGGGGCCGGGGCTGCAGCCGCCGCCAACTCGGCTAGAGCCTGCAGCAACCCCGCCTGCCCGGCCAAGACCGCACGGCCGGGCCCTGTGCCCGTAAGAGCCAATATGTGCTGTGCCGCCGCCGTCTGCAGGTCCGCGCGCGCACCCTGCTTCAGGAAGGGCAGCAGCTCGGCCGCCTCCGCGTCCAAGGTGGCCTCCGGTCCCGCCGGGGCGCCGGGCCTCGCGGTGATCCCAGAGTCTGGGCTACCTACCCGCCCGGCGGCCATCGCGCCACGCCGTTCTCCCGGCCTGGTCCATCGCCCCGCCCGCCCGAAGAACGGAAGCCGGCAGGGCCAATCCGAGGCTCTCGACCAGGCGCGGGGGGGCGGCGGCGGGGGCTGTCCGCAAAGGCGGGACCTCGTCAGACACAGGGCCTTGTGGGCACGGAAGCTGGTGGTTGAGTGTCCAGGCGCTGACCTTCGAGCTCCAGTGTCCATTCCTCCGCCGAGGAAGGTACGCTTGTGGCTCCGTATAGCGGCGCTGGCCACGTGGATCCTAGTGAGACCTGGTCCCTGGCCTACACAAACCTTAGGGATCTCAAAACTGGCGCACAGAAGTAGGGCTGTGGCTAGCCCAGGGACGTGTGGCCTTGGGTCTGCCCGGAAAGAAGGCATGCTCTGGCTCTGTGGACACCCACGAGCCCGGAGCCCGGAGCCGGTAGGAAATGGGACAGCGCGGCGCCGGGGGTGAAGTCCTGGGAGGCAGCTTTGAATAAGCCTGTGCGCATTGTGGACCAGGTAGCTTTGGGACATTTGTCAGGACTTCGGTCGCAAGTGACAAAATGGCACAGAAAGAGAACTGGTCCTTGGATCCATATAACTTAAAAGGTTTGAAGGACATCGGCTGCTGGGATTACAGGCATGCACCGCCACACCCGGCTAATTTCTTTTTTGCTTGTTTTTTGTTTTGCTTTGTTTGTTTTGGTTTTGATTGAGCCTCTTCAAGTGTACATGTGTAAGTGTTCTCTGGTACCAGGGTCATATACATGTCTACTTGCAAGTAGTTACACCGGACAAGTTTCCACAAAGGCACTACCAATCCATATCTTGGAATAACCGTGTGTGTGTGTGTGTGTGTGTGTGTGTGTGTGTGTGTGTGAGAGAGAGAGAGAGAGGGAGAGAGAGAGGAGAGAGAGAGAGAGAGAGTGAGTGTGTACTGGAGATTGAATCCAGGGCCTTTACACTGAACCACATCCAAAACCCAGTGATTTTTTATTTTGAGATGGGGTCTCACTAAGTTGCTAAGTTGCCCAGAATGGGCTTAAACCTGCAGTCTTCCTGCCTCAGTTCTCTCATTGTCTCTTTACAGGAAGAAGGGATACATGCTAAACAGCCAAGAGGAAAGTGGCATAGGGCACAGGGTGGAAGGGTACTGACAAAAAGCTTTTCCTGTCTCCTCCTATGGAGTTTGGATATCCAGGAACAGGGCACAGAGATCAGCAATTACTCCTCAACACCTTCCACCAGAGGGAGACACTGCTCTTTGCCTCTCATTTTATATTGCATCTGATGCACTTGGAGATGTGGATGGTGTCATGATGCGAATTTCTTTGATTGCTGAAGAGGTTGGACATCATTTCATGTGCTTTCTAATCATTTGGGTTTCCTCTTTAACTTTGCCCTTTTTTGGAAAAAAACTAGGCTGGGCATGATGGTGCACTCCTATAATCCCAGCGCTCGGGAGGCTGACGCAAGAGGATTGCTGTGAGTTTAAGGCCAGCCTAGACTGCATAGTGAGTTCAAGCACAGCCTGAACTACATAGCCAGACCCTGTCTCAGAAAACCAAAACATTTAAAAAAAAACCAAACTGGCCTGTTTGTCTTATGCAGATTGATTTAGAAAATGCTTAAAATACCTGGTTATGGATTATTTGCAGAATATAAGTATTATAATTCAATATTTTGGGCCTTTTTTATGCTGCCCTTTGAGAAACAGAAGTTCTATATTTTATTATTTATGTTCTTTTAATTTTTTGTCTTAAGACAGGGTCTCACTACACAGCTCAGGCTGGTCTCGAGCTCACTTTGTTGCCCAGGCTGAGCTCCAGCTTGCAACGATCCTCCTGCCTCAGCCTCCCAAGTGCTGGGATTACAGGCATGCACCACCATGCCCAGCTAAAGTTCTGTATTTTAAATTACTCCAATTAATCACATTCCCTTTAGGATGTATGTTTGGATCTTTGATTGTTTGTATCATGCTCAAGAAATTTTCCCTAACTTGAAGTCATAAGATACCCTACTTTTTCTTAAAATGCTGTAATTTACCCTTTTTTTTTTTTTTTAAAGAGTAGGAAAATTGATCAGAGAAAAGGAATGGGAATAGGAATAGCTTCTGAGAGATAAGAGGGGCCCTGAATGGGTTGCTTAGTTTTCCTTTTAGTGTGTAGGTGCTTACTTTGCCTAGATTTGATATTTGTGTATGTAGTGTGAAAAAGTCCAGTTGCACTTTTTACATATAGACAACTTTTCTTTTCAGTTTATTTATTGAAAAAAATCCGTCCTTTCCCTAATGATCCCTAGGGCTCCTCCAGCAGTCAAGTATTGAAGAACTTTCTCTGTGTGCTTTTCTGTGGAGTATGGTTATGGGCCATTTTGGGTGGAGTCCCTACAAAGCCTCCCTGACACCATATCAAACCAAAACAGTCATTTGCACTGTCATGTGTAATCAAACTGAACTTACAAACAACCTAGTTTTTCTGAAAACTAGAAAAGGCCAGTCAACCAAGTAAGCATAATGAAGAAGTCCCCTCTGTTTTAACCTTGTAAGGATTGTAACTTTGAAAGGACCCATCCGCCCTTTCTGTCTCTGCTTGCTTTCTTAGCCTGATTCTGCCTTTAAGACCCACATGTTCGCCAGGCGTGGTGGTACCCCTGTAATCCCAGCACTTGGGAGGCTGAGGCAGGCGGATCTTGCAAGTTTGAGACCAGCCTGGGCTACAAAGGGAGCTCAAGGCCAGCCTCAACTGCATAGTGAGACCCTGTCTCAAAAAAGACCAAAAAAACAAAACAAAAACAAAAAAACCCCACATGTTCTGCTCAGGCTATTGAATTATATATAGTTGGGTGTTGCCTGATTCTAGAAGCACAAAGTATGAGGAATGATTTTTACTTGTTCAGGACCTGCCCCAATTGAAATCGACAGGCAGAAGGAACAATGAAAGTGAGGTTTTAATGCAGTCTTGCAAGCCTGGTTATCTGGTTTAATAGGCACACACAAGTTGAGAAGCTGTGTGCTTTTATTCCTAACTTGCAAGAGTCCCTGCTGCCATCTCCCATGGCCTGGGGCCTGGGGCTTATAGCCTGTCCTTGCAGGTACTGTTACTTCCCTTTGCCCTGTCTTTGTGCCCCTTCCTCTCCTTGGTGCCCCTTCCTCCCTTTGTGCATTTGTTTTCTTCTTCCTTTCTTCTTTCTTTTGTTCTTCTCTCTTTCTTTATTTCTTTTGAGTACAATTTTTTATTATTTTTCTTTTCTTTTGTTTGTTTTTTGAGGTAAGGTCTTGCTATGTAGTTCAGGCTAGCCTTAAACTCACTATGTACCCTAGGCTGGCCTCAATCTTGCAACGATTTTCCTGCTTCAGCCTACCATAGGTGTGCACCACTGTGCCCAGCTGTGCATTCCTTTTTATATGACTTTTTGGCTTTTCAGGACAATAATTCATGAAAACTTGTTTGTCTAGCAGTTATCTCTTACCCCAGTACCTTATCTCTGATGTGAGGCATTTTACAGCTTGTGTGTCTGTGTCCACTATTTGATCCAGTTAATTCTGTGAATAGGGGCTTGTTAGAGTGGTTAATGAAATATGAGCCAATCAAAATATTTTCAGGTCTACACAAACAAAAGCCAGGTACGGTCTTTAAACTAAATTTGCTGTAATTTTGTCTTTTCACATTGTACTTGGTCGATCCATGAACCAACACTGCTCTGTATTCTCAGTCTAATCCCACAGTTTAGTGTCTTGAGTAGTAAGTCCCCTATCTCAGTCCTCATAAGCCCTGGCTGGCCCTTAGTCTCTGTATTTCATAAGTATTTTAGAATCTGCTTGTCAAGTTGTATAGATACACACATTCAAAACTTTTTTTTTCAAAACTTCTTGAATTTTGGTTGAGATGGCAGTGAGTCTATAGGTCAATATGGGGAAATTAACACTGGTGTGATACTGAGTTTTGTAAATCACATTCAAGATCTTTAACCAAAAAAAGAAAAAATAAAAGCTGAGCATGGTAGCACACAGCTGTAATCCTAGTACTTGAGAGGTTAAGGCAATAGGATCATTCTGAACTTGAGGCCAGCCTGGTCTTCATAGTGAGTTCAAGGCTAGCCAGAACTATATAGTGAGACCCTGTTTCAAAAAAAAGCCGCCAGGTGTGGTAGC